CAAGCCGTCCAAGTATCGTTATGTACCCAAGTATTTTCGACTTTGACAGTCGCATTTAACCCCGACAGATTTGCATTATCTCTAATATTTGAAAGCAAGCCAGTGTTAAAGGTTGACTGACCACAGAGTAATTATATATGGGTGGTATTCACCCATTAAGGCTTATGATCGGTCAAGTGGTTTTCAATCGCCATTACAAATTTATAAATATTTTATATCAAACAAATGCATTACTTCATGAAAACGCATTGTGAAAATATCGGTTTGTGTAAATATTTACATATACCGCGACTGACAAAAACCTGGTGACATTATAATGCTTGGTATATAAAAATGGTTTTGTTATATCGTGGGATATTCTAATTATTAATATTAAAAACATTCTCTCCCGATTTTTAGCAAGATTTAATCTTTAATGAGTTGATCAATTAAAATAACGAACAACACTCATCAGAATGTCCTATTTTATTAACATTAAAATGCATGTAAATTGGGAGGTCAAAGGTTTATTTTTTCTCAATATTGGCATTGACACGCAGATCGCCGCGATCGATTGGCTGGTTCCCGCCTTAAGTGTCATTGCGTACCAAGCTACAAGAGGCCGGTAACTAGTAACGAATCCGGTACTCTGATTGGTCCATCACTTTCTCGTTGCTTGTTCTATTTTCCAAGTTCCGTTCTGCGTAAGTGTGTCTGTAATACTACAATAAAGCCATGATCATGCATTCTGCCTGCTTAGACTTACATATTTGAGATGTTTTTGACATTCCTCGTTGTTTCTGTGCAAATTTATAACAAATAAAACAGTTTTACTTGCCATACTCGAACAAAGAACGCCGGGAACCAGCAAACGCAATCGATCGCCGCAAACCATCCGAATAGCGCCACCTGTGTTGAAACAATGTGGAAATAGTTCCGACTTCTTTTCCAATAGTCCCACGCGCAATATGTGTCAGATCGGTTGGTTTGCGGCGATCTGCCAGTGCGTGTCAATGGAATGACACCGTATGGCCACCTGACGCATGCGTAGGCGACGACTTTACACATTTGACGAATCGTGATGAAGTAAGGGTCAACGCCATATTCTCTTCTGAAAGATCAGCATTTCAACATTGAGCTATAAAAACAAGAATTCACACATTATGCGAAATATGTTAGTGAACAAAACCTAACCTATTCTAGAATGAAATGTAGATATACGACACATATCAACATCAGTATCACTTATTATTCAGACACGAATTTTTTTGTCCATGCGTCTCCACCTGTATCTGGGACATACCTGATAAACGTAATTCTATCAACATTTTTTATGGTCCTCATCAGTGCACTAATAGTTATATTTATATAAATTTTAATTATTACTGTTATATTATTATCCATTATTATCTATAAATTATTTATTATTGTTATCATTTGTTCATGTAAATGTATTATTTCCTGATGAAATAAAACGATACATACAAGCCAGTCTTGTTTACATTCATATCTAAATTCTCAATGAACAAGATTATAATTCATAATTATTCAATGTTGCTGAACATAGATACAGTGATATGACATAATATACATATGCGTGTCAATTCACAAATTTGAAAATAATCTATGTTTTCTTAAGTTATTTACACTGACTGTGAAGGGGTTGATTATGACAATAGGCATATTACATACTGGGTGAAACATACTCATCTTTAGTATAAAAGTTGAAAAAGGATCCATATGCACACCTATGCAACCCTATCCTATATGTATATTCCCCTCATAAGAACATTTATAATTGAATTGGAGGCTTGGGGTGAGGGTTAGAGCTAGAACTTGGAGAGGGGTGCAAATGAATATATTCCCAAAGTTGATACTTAACCGGACTGAACTGGAATCCGCATCACCACTGCCATGACCGCCAATTGAGATTTTTTGTGTAAATTGAATTGAATTATTGCAGAGAGTAAGTAATAACTTAGTCACTAGCACACCAAGTCATTGTATTCAGCAAAAAGCTGAACATGAGCACAGCAGTCTGAATGACGTCGGTGTATGTATCTGTTTATTAAAGAGCTTGCATCCAATATTGTCACAACAGATCACAAGTAATGCTGATAGGTGAGCAGCATTGCATATTTTCTTGCTGGTTGGTAAATGGTCAGCAGACTGCTAAATAGACTGGCTCAGTCGTGACAACGGTTTTATATGATAATTCCCTAAAGAACAAGTTTGTAGAATCTCTTTGGGCCAAGATTTAAGAAAATGAGCTCTAGTCTTTGAACTTTCAATGACGATGCAACTTCTTACAGGTACTGGATAGGAAGAAAACTGTAAACACATATGCATTCTTTGACAATGGGTCAAACATACGCTTCTGCGCTGAATCCCTTGCTTAGATATTAGGCGTACGAGGTAAGAAAACTGACATTGATTTGAAGACAATAGATCAAACATCAACCAATCAAGAGAGACTACTTGAAATCTCCAACTTGAATGGGGATATTGTCGTTATGGCGCTTGAAGGATTTAATATTCCAACTCTGCCAGTGAAAAGCCACACATTGGCTAAGTTGGAGACATCAATAAGTGGCCATGTGTACAAATATTATTGAAGACATTTGACTTAATTTACACTAACATTCCAGAATTGCATCAACCCCTTTGATGTCAAGACATCAACTAATGGTGGTCCTTACGCCACTTGAATGTTGTGTGGTTGGGTTGTCAATGGTCATTATATATATATATATGCTAACAAGAGAACATGTGTAAAAACTCTAACCTGCAATGCCCAACAATACAAGAGTATCCCATGCTTGATGTTATTGAACTATTTAACACATTTTGTGATATTGTCTTCAATGACATCAATATGCACCTCAGGATGAAAATCTGCTTAATTCACCGTAAACAAATGCAGGTACATCTTTTTAGTGGATGAAGGGTGTATCTGTGGTGTCAGTTAGAAATGTTTGCAGTATCAGTTATCTAATGAATAATTTCGCCAGCAGGCCAAAACTAATAAAGATCATACCTGGAAACGTATTGTCAAGTCAAAGGACTGCAAGACCAATTGAATGGGAGGGTGCTGAAATGTGCTATATTGAATTATATCCAGCAACAGTCATATGCTGACGTTTAGTCTCTGTGTTGGTCAGCAAATAATTCAAACAGTCCAATTGGATCCAATTCTAGTAAAGTAGTTGAGTAGCAGACTGAGAAATTCCAAAGTTAAAGCAGATGCAAAACATCAGATAGTTTGTCCAAAGTGTCATCATGTCACAACACTCATTGTTCGCTACTCTCAGAGAAATCAAACAAAGGTTTTGGCATGCAACTGACAAACAACTTTGAATAGCTGTGTTGATTGCCAGAAAAGACATGCTCGACCACCTTATCAGAAGCTGGTTGACTTGCCAATAGAGTTACTTCTGCTTTGCCTCTGTTCACTTGTGTTGATTGCTTTGGACCTTTCAATGTCGAAAATCGAAGTCGATTTTGAAGAGATATGGCATAATATTCACCTGCCTTACAACTTAAGCTGTGCATCTAGAGGCAGCTTATTTATTGGACACAAATTCATTCTTGAATGGACTGTGGGTATTCATAACTAAACATGGTATACGTACAGCTATCAGGTCTGACAATGGAGGAAAGGCGAGAGGTGAAAGGAAACTGCAATTAGCCATAGAGCAATAGAACTGGAATCTAGAGAAAATCCACCAATACTTGTAACATCATGGTCTCCCCAGACTATACTTGCATCAGGATGAGATATACAATCTCTCAGGTAAGATACTACATCTTTTAAAACTATCAAATTCTTGTGTTGCTCATTAGGTGCATACTTGTTCACCAGAATGAAGCAGTTCTCAGCAATGTATGCATCATTACCAAGTATCACTACTGAATACGGATTATAAAGATAGGAACAAAATGTCTAGAGAAAGTGTTACTAAAAATAATACATGGAACTCAATTGGCTTTTGTGAAAAATATGTATTTAGGGGATGTAACAAGACTGGTATATACCAAGAAAGAAAGTATGAACCTGTCAGGCATTCTTTTAACAGTGGACTTTGAAAAGGCATTAAATAACCTAGAATGAAGCTTCATGTTGAAGTCATTACAGGCCTTGAATTTAGAGGAAATGTTATTTGATGGATCTAATCGTTATAAATACATTTATACACAGAAAACGAATACGGGTACAACGACTAGATACTTCTCTTTAGGCAGGGGAGTAAGACAATTTATTGTAAGAAGAAATAGATATGGCAAAACATTTTGATGTTTAGTGACTTTAGATATTGCACTTCATTGTAATCAACATACTTCATGCAAGTTATTTCCATGTAACAGACGTAGTTTATTTCATTTTAGTAACAAAGTGTACACAGACAAATTATAAGTGGTAACAAGGTATATCGTTTTTTAAACAGACCATGCAGGCAGTGTATATATTCGATATTGTTCTTCGAATAAGTTCTATGTACGAGAACAACAAATTTTGTAATTCAGCTTAAAGAATAATAAATAATTACAGAATAAGAGATATTGTTACGAAATATACAAATCTATTTGAGGTCCACTCAAAATATCAAAAATGTTGGTAAAAAAGTTATTTGAAGGATATCACGAAACGATCTAACTTTACAGAGGTTCACCCTGTGTATCAAACATAAGGGCAATAGAATTATCTGTTTTGAAGAAGTAATTTCAAGGAAACGTTTATGCAGAATGCTGTCGACAGACTAACTCTTAAACTAATGGCTCCTCCTGTCATCACAAATGTTTTACAACATACAGAGTCAATGACGACAAGTACAGATGAGGATAACTAGTATGAATTCTGTGTACATCACTTTATGTAGATGGATTGAAGTTTGTCACGTTACGTTCCTCGAGGCATGTCTGAAAAATTATATATCTCTAAAACACAAAAACAATCGCCGCCAATGATTGGTCAATGAATGTTCAAACAAGTGACAGTGCATCAGTCTTATGCTACAGAGTAAGAAAACAAAGTTTATATCAACAGAATCAGCTGGGGGAAAAAGCATTATGAAGTGCAAATTATAAACATAATTCTCATTAATACCATTGTGTCTCTCAGTTAATCTGCAAACTCTAGCAAGGTTATCTCTTATTGGATAAAAATAACTTCCTACACGGATCCTGGATATGCAAGAAACAAAATGGCAATCATTCCATCATGATGTGTCTTAGTTACCCTGCATATTCAACTATTACACCAAATCTGGACGACATTTATCAGCTGTGAGTTTGATAAATTATGACTATTTGTCATTTTAAATTCAGCCATTTGGTCAAAAACAGATCAAGAAACAAAATGGCCACCAGTCAGATATTTTGAATAGCATGCTCAACCGGCATACCAAATTTGAAAAAAAAAACAAGACATAAATTTCACAGTCCCAGTTATTTAAATATAAAATATTCATGTTAAAATATACATGGAACATCTGCAAACAATAGAACTCTACTTTCATTGACCCAAGTGCACAAGTGCAACCAAACTATGTCTCATACATGCTCAAGAAACTGCATTCATAAATCTGAGTAAACCTTGATGTACCTTTAATAACAACTTGACTTCTTTGTTAATTCAGGTCTTTGTATATTACCAGGACCTGGGTTTGTTTCATTATCACCACTATAATTCCCATCAAAACGTAGCCCTGACACCCCTCAACATTTCCCACTCAGATTGGTAATGGTACGACCCATCTGTCACTGATTCAGATCATCACTAAAAAGCCTAGCATTACAATCTAAGCTAATTATTTATTCTGAACATGCTCAGTTGCTCTGTCAGTGCAGTAGGGAGAGGTAATTTTGGATGAAAATTTTGAAAAATACCCACTTACGATTTTCAGATCTTGAAAAAACAATTACGTGCATACTCGGCAGAGACTTGTTCATCAACCTGTCAAGTTTCATCGATATCTGCTGCAGAATTTCTGAGAAAATGTTGGAGATGGAAAACAGCGAAAAATGGACATTGACAAAACCGGTTTTAGAAAGTCCCCCATTTTTTTAATGAATGGTTAAAAGGCAAACAATTATGACCTGTCATATGATCAGATATGCAAAACCACAACAGAATCAGGCACCTAACATATACAACCATCATTTCATCATAAATATGTATATATAGTATATATAAAGCATTTAAACAAATGGTAGATAGTGGTGTATTTTGAATTAAAATATAAAAAAACTTGACAATGATCTGACAACCGTCATACCCAGTTTGAAACAAATTTCCAGAAGTCCATTTTAGTGCATTTTTAAACAAAAGTTGATCAGCAGTTGGCTATCTGTGATCGGATGACAACATTATTGTATGTAGTGTTTATGTATAAAATTTGAAGTGAGTTGCTCAATGCATGGATGAGATATAACATTACTGTAATTTGTAAAAAAACAAAATGGCTGCCAGGCAAGAACCCATTTTCCAAATTTTAACAGGCACTAACAAATGCAAGTGTATATGAATGATGTATGATGACTGAGATCCAGTTCGAGAATCGTAGAAACGCCAATTTTGAGGCATATTTATTGTCATTTGATCATTTTGAATTGAATTATGAACAACAAGAAATAAATATGTATGAATGTAAAAGCAAGAAAGATTGAGTTTTAATTGAATCACAAAAAACAAATGCATGTGAATACGTAGGATGTTTTTGATGTGTTAAGTTTTAAGGTAATCTGTCCAGTCATGTCTGAGACATACATAGGAATGAATGCATGGACAAACAAAAACTATCCTCCTTTATGACTATGTCCGAACAGACACAATAGATATTATTATTAAATAATTGTTGTAATTACTGTATTCAACACTACAAAAAGATACAATAGAAAGAATTACTAAATACATGTACATATTGTTATATCTCCACCATCATACCATGCAAGTGATATAAGTACATGTATTAAGTACACTGGCATTGAAGTGTTGATCTAAAACAAGAAAGTAATTCTGAACACGTCTACATTGTCAATTTGTTTATCATGCTTCAACTGAATTTTACACTGATTCAAATTTGGTACAATTAAAGATTCATTACATTCAAACAATCCAGAAAACAAATAATTTGAAGTAGTAATTTTTTTTGGAATTTTTTTGTCATTGGAAGTAGAAGTGTGACTCCATTCATGTTGTCTGTACACTAATGGTTTATTAGTTATATGTGTCAGCAAATGCGGTTTCAGATGCCTTGACTGCCTAAAACTCTCCTCACATTGTTTTGAATGAAACTGTTTCTCATGTCTTCGCATGTGCTGTTTTAGATTACCAAATAGACTAAATCTTTTATTGCATTGTTGGCAATGAAAAGGTTTTTCACCGGTATGTGTTCGCGTATGCCTTTTAAGATCACATGACTGATAAAAACTTTTCTCACAGTGTTGACACTGAAAAGGTTTATTACCAGTATGTGATAACATGTGTTGTTTTAGATGGCTTGACTGAATGAAACTCTTCTCACAATAACGGCAATGATATGGTTTATCACCTGTATGTGTTCGCATATGCAGTTTTAGATTATCAGACTGACTGAAACTCTTTTCACACTGTTGGCAATGAAAAGGTTTTTCCCCGGTATGTGTTCGCGTATGCTTTTTAAGATCACATGACCGATAAAAACTTTTCTCACAATGTTGACACTGAAAAGGTTTATCACCAGTATGTGATAACATGTGTTGTTTTAGATGGCTTGACTGAATGAAACTCTTCACACAATAACGGCAATGATATGGTTTCTCACCGGTATGTGTTCGCATATGCAGTTTTAGATTATCAGACTGACTGAAACTCTTTTCACACTGTTGGCAATGAAAAGGTTTTTCACCGGTATGTGTTCGCGAATGCCTTTTAAGATCACATGACTGATAAAAACTTTTCTCACAGTGTTGACACTGAAAAGGTTTATCACCAGTATGTGTTCGCATATGTTGTTTAAGTTCATTTGGCCGATAAAAATTCTGTTTACAGTGTTGGCAATGGAAAGATTTAACACCTGTATGTGATAGCATGTGCCGTTTTAGATGACTTGACCGTGTAAAACTCTTTTCACAATGTTGGCAAGGAAAAGGTTTAGTGCCTGTATGTGATCGCATACATGTATGTTGTTCAAGATCACTTGACTG